AGAAGAAGAAGAAGAAGAAGAAGAAGAAGAAGAAGAAGAAGAAGAAGAAGAAGAAGAAGAAGAAGAAGAAGAAGAAGAAGAAGAAGGAGAAGAAGAAAAAGAAGAAGAAGAAGAAGAAGAAGAAGAAGAAGAAGAAGAAGAAGAAGCAGAAAAAGAAGAAGTAGAAGAAGAAGAAGAAGAAGAAGAAAAAGAATGATGAAAATAATAATAATCATCATCATCATCATAAAAACAATAATCATAATAATAATAATCATAATAACAATAGTGATAAATAGAAATTGCATCGTGTAAATTCCCACTCAACAACAAGCTCTATGTCCTTCAACTTATTTTATTACCCCAGCAGACGTGTGACAGCATTCTAAAACAATCCCAACTTCCTGAGAAGTGTACAGTGCAGGCAGACATTTTGCATGTGCTAAAAACGCTATAAATACAACTGAAACCTACTATATTTGTATCAGGAAAAACGGTAAAAGACACAAGAAAAGGAGGTCCGTGGTTACCTGCCGTTATTGGTCAGCTCAATGTCCACTACCAGGTCCGGGTGTTCAGTGAGGGTTTTGTTGCAGGTGATAGTCTCCGTCTCGATGATGAAGATCCCGTGCGACCCCGCCCACACCTGCGTGTCTCCCACGGCAACCATTGCCGACTGAGAGGGGTACAGATAGTGTGGTTGTCTTATTGAAAGATATCTTTTATCATCGATGCTATGAATAAACTTTAGAGGCAGTAAGAGACTGGGCGATATATACAGATAGCATGACTGTCTCAGTGAAAGAAATTCTCTTATGAATAAACTATAGAAGCTGTGAGATGTTGGGATCATTTTAAGTTATGAATTAACTATAGAGGCAGTAAGAGACTGGATTATATACAGACGGTTACTTAAGGGAGGCATTGCGCTGCGAAGAGTGAAATAGCTAAAGGGATTTGAAAACAACAACAACAATAACAATATACAAGTGAAAGATATGTTTTATCATCAATGTTATGAATAGATTTAGAGGTTGGATCACTTCAATTAATGAATAAACTATAGAAGCAGTATGAGACTGGATGATACACAGATGGCCTGATTGTCTTTGTGAAAGAAATCCTCTTATGAATAAACTTTAAAAGCTGTAAGAGGCTGGATCATTTTAACTTATGAATAACCTATAGAAGCTGTAAGAGGATGGATCATTTTAACTTATGAATAAACTATAGAAGCTGTAAGAGGATGGATCATTTTAACTTATGAATAACCTATAGAAGCTGTAAGAGGCTGGATCTTTTTAACTTATGAATAACCTATAGAAGCTGTAAGAGGCTGGATCATTTTAACTTATGAATAACCTATAGAAGCTGTAAGAGGATGGATCTTTTTAACTTATGAATAAACTATAGAAGCTGTAAGAGGCAGGATCATTTTAACTTATGAATAAACTTTAGAGGCAGTAAGAGGCTAGACCATTCTAACTTCTAAATAAACAATAGAAGCAGTAAGAGACTGGATCATTTCAACTAATGAAGAAACTATTGAAGCTACAAAAAAGTGTAAATGAATTTTATCAACCAAAGCTAGCAGACAATGCAGTAGCCGTTCCAACAAAATGCAGCCCTCTGATGATAAAAATCTTGTTTACAAGCTTGTTAAAAACTATGTCCTGTCATAAAATATTATATCAAATTCAGAACCAGCTTATTAAAATCAGCAAAATGAATCGTGGATCACTCTTCTTCCTGCTGGCTTTTGAAGAACTCAAAAAAAAATTTTTTTTACCAAGACTGCGTCATGTAGCATTTTCTTATCACAAAGAGGACGGACACTTGTCAGTTTTAACTAAACGTGTAACACCCCCTTAAGGCAGCAGACAGTTTTAACTGAACATGTAACACCCCCTAAAGGTAGCAGTCAGTTTTAACTGAACGTGTACCACCCCCTTAAGGCAGCAGACAGTTTTAACTGAACATGTAACACCCCCTAAAGGTAGCAGTCAGTTTTAACTGAACGTGTAGCACCCCCTAAAGGTAGCAGTCAGTTTTAACTGAACGTGTACCACCCCCTAAAGGTAGCAGTCAGTTTTAACTGACCGTGTAGCACCCCCCTTCCAACTGACCACTGTGTGCTTGGTCTGCACAAAGTTGCGCTCCAGTGTCCAGTTTGTGGCATCAAAGACCTTGACCTTGCCGTCGCCCATGCCGCACCACAGACGGGGAGGGATGCTGCTGCTGGCGTCTGTGGACTGACCTAACGGACCAGAAAAAAACTTTAGTTTTAGTAGAGGTTTTATGGCGCTCGCAACTGCATAAGTTCATATGAGCGCAAAATTTTTTTTTTTTATTTACAAAATAATAGCAATAAAAATAATAACAAATACATAACATTTTATTGATCCTGTGGGGAAACTTGAGTTACAATGGCAAACAGGCTCATGCATACATAAATACATCATTAAAAATACATACATACATAAAAGGATAATAAGAAATACATACATACATAAGTGCACAATTAAAAATACATACATGCAAAAGTACATAATTAAAAATACATACATACATAAGTACATAATTAAAAATACATACATACATAAGTACATAATTAGAAATACATACAAACATAAATGAATAATAAGAAATACATACATAAACACATAATTAGAAATACATACATATATAAATGAATAATAAGAAATACATACATACATAAACACATAATTAGAAATACATCCATACATAAATGCATAATTAAAATACATACATACATAAGTACATAATTAGAAATACATACAAACATAAATGAATAATAAGAAATATATACATAAACACATAATTAGAAATACATACATACATAAATACATAATTAGAAATACATAAATACATAAATGAATAATAAGAAATACATACATACATAAACATATAATTAGAAATACATCCATACATAAATGCATAATTAAAATACATACATACATAAATGAATAATAAGGAATACATACATACATAACAAGAAATACAAACATACATATAAAAGAATGATAAGAAATATATATGCATGGATAAATACAAAATACTACACCAGTAAAGAACAATTTCACCAACATATCATTGCTGGTCACCACTGTGCACTCCTCTTTTTAGCTAGTGGAAATGTGTGTTCATCCGCAGAACAAAACAGCTTCAATCAAATATAAACCAAATTGTTCTACTATATACTGGCAATAATTTTTTTTTAAAAGGTACCACTTTTTCATTGCGTATAAAATCTCGTCCTTTGTCTCTTTACCCTTTTTCTTTCACGTGAGTAATACTAGGTACTCTAAACAGTAGGTCATGATATAGAAACAGCACAACAGCAGAAAACTCAACAGCACAACAACAGAAAACACAACAGCACACACCCCAACAGCAGAAAACACAACAGCAGAAAACTCAACAGCACAGCAGAAAACACAACAGCACACAGCCCAACAGCAGAAAACACAACAGCACAGCAGAAAACACAACAGCACACAGCCCAACAGCAGAAAACTCAACAGCACACACCCCAACAGCAGAAAACTCAACAGCACAGCAGAAAACACAACAGCACACAGCCCAACAGCAGAAAACTCAACAGCACACAGCCCAACAGCAGAAAACTCAACAGCACACACCCCAACAGCAGAAAACACAACAGTAGAAAACTCAACAGCACAGCAGAAAACACAACAGCACACAGCCCAACAGCAGAAAACACAACAGCACACAGCCCAACAGCAGAAAACACAACAGCACACAGCCCAACAGCAGGAAACACTACAGCACACAGCCCAACAGCAGAACAAACACAACAGCACACAGCCCAACAGCAGAAAAAACAACACACCAGCAGGTAACGACTCACATCCCGCCGTGTAGAGCATAATCTCCACCGTGTTCCTCTCGCGCTGCCCTATGTTGGGGTCGACGCGGTGCTGCAGCGCGCTGAGTGTGGCGGGTGGGAGGTTGTGTCGGCCCTCCGAGATGTAGGAGGTGAAGTAACACACCGTCTCGGCCGCACGCGCGATGTTGTTGTGGTGGGTAGTGCCTTTGTCCTGACCGCTGTGGATTGAGGAAAGACAAGGTTGTGCAGTTTGTTCTGGTAGAGGTTTTATTAATTTTTTATTTTTATTAGTAGAGGGTTTTACGGCGTTCGCAACTGCATAAAGTCATTTGAGCGCCATAGTAGAGGTTTTACGGCGCTGGCAACAACTGCATAAGGTCATATGAGCGCCAAGGGGTGGATGTCAACAGAGAAGTCCTTACAGGGAATCAGACTTACTCTGCTCACCTCTTTAACTTCAACAGCACAAAGTCTGCTTCGACTATCAAGGCACCCCGCAATTAGCGGGCCACAAGAGTGTGACAAACATACAAAAGAAGTAGAGGTAAAATGACGATAGTAATGATTATGAAAGAAAAAGCAGCAGTTCCCTGTTGTAGTTCAGGCACAGTTATGAGCATGACATTGTTGAATCAGCCCATTTACAAGTAAATTCTACAGTGCATAAGAACATGGTAATGTCCCCCTTTGGGAATGGCCTAAAGCCACTTCAGTCAGTACCACTGCCCCACAGGATGAAGACTGTTTAGTTTTGAGAAATGTAAAGCATAGTGACATGAAATTGGTATATTTTGTTAATTAAGAGAAGCACAATAGAAAATGGTCACTTAGTTGGAGTTTTTTTGTTTGAATAAAGATATTTATAGAATACCCGAGGACACAACTTAAAAAAAAAATTTGGTTTAGTCTTAACAACTTCTACGGCACTTGCAACACGAATAAGATAGATAGGTGCCAAAGATTAGAAGTGTTTCTAGTGAGTAAACATACAAAGAAAAGGAGGAGAGATTAGGGAAAAAAGATGTCTGACAAGACAGAAGGAGCAAACCTCACCAGAGCACCCCCCCAACCACCCACAACAGAAAAACTTTTCTGCGATACCTTCTGATGATGGCATCTACTAGCAGCACATTCTGCACCGCCTGGCCAATCGCTGTGAAGTCTTTGGTAGCCTCGGCAACGATCTTGCCCGCTCGCATTTCTTCGATCAGCGTGGCCCAGCAGTTGCGCTCTTCCTTCAAAGCAGCGGAGAACTTGACCTTGTTGTCTGAGGCACACAGTGGGAAAGACATGAAAGGAAACTCAGAGACAGCTGGGAGAGAGGATAGTGTGTGGTGGGGATGGAGGGGGAAATGACAATACACATACAGATTGCTGGCTGTGTCACCAACAGCTTAGTTTATTTGAGTAAAAAAAAGCACATCAACGTAATAACCCTCATTCTCTGCAGGGAAAAAAAGCCAAAAAGGCTGACAATACACAACACACAGAAGACAATACACAACACACAGAAGACAATGCACAACACACAGAAGACAATACACAACACACAGAAGACAATACACAACACACAGAAGACAATGCACAACAGACCCAAAAAAACACATAAAAAACAACACACAACACACTAAACAACCCAAAAGACAATGCACAACAACAAAAAAACAACATAAAAAACAACACAAAAGACAATGCACAACAGACAAAAAAACAACATAAAAACAACACACAACAATCTTAACAACACAAAAGACATTGCACAACAAAACAACACATGACAGACAACACACAACAGACAATAAAAGACAACACACAAACACAGGACACAATAGGTGCCATGGATTGTCCAAAATGGCGTGCGACAACACACATTACACAACACACAAGTGACACAACCACCACCGGGGCCTCCGATCGTACCGTCAGTGACAACACATGACACACAACACACAACTGACAACACACAAGAGACAAAACCACCACCGGGGCCTCCGATCGTACCGTCAGTGACAACATATGACACACAACACACAACTGACAACACACAAGTGACAAAAAGCACCACCACGGGGCCTCCGATCGTACCGTCAGTGACAACGAGCGCGTCCACCGCAACCAGGAAGGAGTGGCTCTGCACGCGCTCCAGTCGAGTGATGTTCCGAAGCTTGATGATCTCCCTGTACGTGTTGCTCACGTCTTTGATGAAGAACAGCCTGGGGAAGGTTTTTAGTTTTAGTTTTAGTAGAGGTTTTACGGTGCTCGCAACTACATAAGGTCACATGAGGGCCTGACGATTAGAGGTGTTACAAGAGAGTAACAAACATAAAAAACAAGAAGGGGAGATAATAATGATTGATGTTTCATAGGAAACAACGTCCTATTAGCTCAGTATGACTAAGACATATAATATTTATGATCATAACAATGATGATGATGATGACTATACAGTCCACAAGGTCATATTAGCTCAGTATGACTAAGACATATATCACATGTGAGGCATTGCAGTGAAATCAGGCACTCGTCAAAATAACAAAATCGAAGAAACCAGCATTTTTCTGCCAGTTTGGCAATTTTTATCAAATTTCTGTTTTTCGGCTCAACACTTTTTAGGTCCATTTAAAAACACATTTCTGTGAAGATTTCACCGAAAAACGTTGAAAAAGTCTGTCCTCAGAGAAAGTTGCATTTGTAAATAGCAAAAGTTGCACGAAAAATTAGCAAAAGTTGCAAGAAAAGTTGCAAGACGTGCATAGCTTAAACAATGCCACGGAACTATTGGAATACATTATAAATGTATTGCTATGCTCATTGCAATCAAAAGTAACCAATATGAGTTTAGTTAGATCAAAATCAGAAGTTAAATGTGAAT